TAGGAAAGTGTTGGGATCTCAGGCAGTACCCAGGCAGATGGACCTTAAAGAGGAAGGAAAGGGAACTCCTGCCTTTCTGTGGATTTCACTCTCTATACTTCAAGGGGGCAGATGCTGAGATATGGACCCCTGGTGCTAGGTGCTCAGATGGTGTCTGGGCTTGGAGCTAGGATGGAAGGGCTTGTGAACCTTGAGTGTGGAGTCATAACTTTTGTGGTGGCAGATGTTTTTTACTTCCCAAAGTCAGCCCACTCCTATCCTTTAGCAAGGTTGGCAACTATTGCGGCTATGGTGGTACAAGGAGTAATTTGTGATGAAGTTCAGGGTTGAGAATATGTGCTAGTTATCTATTGTTGTGTAACTCCCACACAACAAACATGTATTATCTTACGCAGTTTCTGAGGATCAGAAATCGAGGAGCTAAAACCCTGGTTTTGGCTCAGGGTGTCTCACAAAGCTGCAATCATCTGAAGGTTTCACTGGGGCTGGAGGATCTGCTTCCAAAATGGCTCACTCACGGCTGTGGGTAGGAGGCCTCAGTTCTTTGCTGCTTGTGTCTCTTCATAGGCTCCTTCGCTGTCCTTATGACATGGCAGCCGGCTTCCCCCAGAGTGAGTGATCCAAGATAGAGAGAGCAAATTGAAGCCAAAATGTCTTTTATAACCTAGCCTTGGAAATGATACAGCATCACTTCTGCCATCTTCTATTGGTCACACAGACCAACCCTCATACAATGTGGGAAGAGACTACCTAAGGGCAGAATACCAGGAGGTAGAGATCATTGGGGGCCATCTTGGAGGCTGGCTATCGCAGAACTAGACATACTATTTTAGTACAATAAGTGCAGAAGATCAGTTAGTAGGATGTTATTTTTGTTGGGTATGATTGTATTGTATTACCCTGAAGCCAGACTGCCTTTGAGGGCTTTGGCCCTCTCCTCCTCCACCTTAATATCTGATGGGGCCCTTCATCCATCCCCATCAGTAGTGGGACTGGACAAATCAAAGAATGACCTACAGGAGGCCAAACACAAGAGGAAGTGGAGTTTTGGGAGGAAAGCAAAAGGACCAGAGAGCTGTTGAAAAGGAGAGAGGATGGGCAGCAAGCAGAAGCCCCAGACAGAATGTCTTTTCCAACCTGTAAGAGGGTGACCATATTGTGAGTCTTGAGAATCTAGGACTGTAGTCCCAGGTCCCACTCCATGAGATTGCTCATAGAGACAAATGCATAGACTGGAGATTCCAGTTCCAGATCTCCCACACCCTGTGGGCTTTGTGTGGATTTTCAAGCCTGAAGTCCTTTAGTAAAGGACACTAACACACTGTGTATGTGCTTTGCTTACCAAGAGTGAGGCAGTTCTGTTACATCCTGCACCATCCCTTCCTTCAACAATGAGGAGTTTTTGGGTGAGGCTGCACTTGTACTGCAGATAATCAAGTTGCATATTACTCTCTGTTCTATTTCCTTTTTGTTTCCTCCAAGACCTTAATAAACGCCTTCAAATGGTCCACCTTTGTCCTATCTGTGCTATTCAGAAATAAAGGAGTGGAGAGGAAGCAAGAAAGGAGGTGCTGAGTGGCAGCAGTGGTTTGGGGATAAACCTCAAGGAAAGGCCTCCCCTTCCCATGTGTGGTGCAAACAGTTTGCACTTGGCTACTAACCAAACGGTTGGCAGTGCTAACCCCCCCAAGTGGCACCATGAAAGAAAGACCTGGCGATCTTACTTCTATCTATTGAAAACCCTATGGAGCTCGGTTCTACTTTGACACACATGGGATTGCTATGAGTTGGAATTGACTTGATGGCAAGGTTTTTGTTTTTTTTCCCCCTAAATTTTATTTATTTTGTTGTTGTTGTTGAGAATATACACAGCAAAACATATGCCGATTCAATGGTTTGTACATGTACAATTTAGTAACACTGTTACATCCTTTGAGTTGTGCAACCGCTCTCACCCCCCTTTTCTGAGTTGTTCCTCCCCCATTAACATAAACTTACTTCCCCCTAAGTTTCCTATCTAATCTTCGAGTTACTGTTGTCAATTTGATCCCATATAGATAGATAGTTTTTAAAAGAGCATAACGCTCAAGGCAGAATTTTTTCTACTGGTAAAGCTAAACTGTTGTTTGGTTTTAAGAAGACTTCAGGGGATATTTTTGGTTTAAGGTTTAAAGATTATCCCAGGGCAATAGTTTCAGGGGTTCATCCAGCCTCCATGGTTCCAGGAGGTCTGGAGTCCATGAAGATTTGAAATTCTGTTCTGCATTTTTCCCCTTTTGATCAGAAATTCTCCTATGGAATCTTTGATCAAAATGTTCAGTAACAGTAGGTGGGCACCATCCAGTTCTGGTCTCATGGCAAAGGAGGCTGTTGTTCATGGAGGCAATTAGCCACACATTCCATATTCTCCACCTATTCCTGACTCTCCTTCTTCGTCTGTTGCTCCAGGTGAACAAAGACCAATTATTGTGACTTGGATGGCTGCTTGCAAGCTTTGAAGACTCCACGCACTACACAACAAACTAGGAGGTAGAACAGAAGCACTAAACACGTTATTAGGCCAATTAACTGGGACGTCCCAAGAAACCATGACCCTAAACCTCCAAACTAAGGAACCAAATCCTATGAGGTGTTTGGTTGAACATAAGCAGCCTCAGCAGCTATTTTATTTTTATTTTTTTGTCATTGTAAGTATATCTATCAAACAACCTTTGTCAATTCAACTTTTTACAGATGCACAACTTATTGACAGCAATTACAATAATCTGCTGTGCAATACCTTTCGTCAGTGTGAGTTTTCCATCTCCATTAACTCCCGTTCTCCCCCTCACTCCCATCCCTGGTAACTACTAATAAATTTTGGTCTCTATACATTTGTCTTTTCTTGTCTTTTTATATAAGTTAGGTTATACAATATTTGACCTTTTGTGATTAGCTTATTTAGCTCTGCATAATGTCTTCAAGCCCCATCCATACTGTAGTATGTATCAAGACTTCATTTCTCCTACTAGCTGAGTAGTATTCCATTGTATGTATGTACCACATTTTGTTTATCCATTCATCTGTTGATGGGCATTTAGGTTGTTTCCACCTTTTGGCTGTTGTGAACTGTGCTACAATGAACACTGGTGTACAAGTCTCTTTTTGAGTCTCTGTTTTCAAGTCTTTTGGGTATATACCTAGAAGTGGAATTGCTGAGTCATATGGTAGTTCTATTTTTAGTATTTTGAGGAACTGTCACACTGTTTTCCACAATGGCTGTACCATTTTGCATTCTAAGTGTTCCAATTTCCCCACATCCCCACCAACATTTGTTATTTTCTGTTTTTTATTTTTTTAAAATCTTAGCCATCCTAGTGGGAGTACAATGGTATCTCACTGTGGTTTTGAGTTGCATCTCTCTGATGGCTAATGACACTGTGTGTCTTTTCACATTTTTGGTGGCCATTTGAATGTCCTCTTTGGTGAAATGTCCATTCAAGTCTTTTACTCATTTTATGATTGGGTTATTTGTCTTTTTGTTGTTAAGTTGTTGAAGTTTTATATATAATTTGGCTATTAGATTCTTGTCAGATATATGGTTTCTGAAGATATTCTCCTAGTCAGTAGCTTGTCTATTCAGTTTTTTGGTAAAGTCTTTTGATGATCAAAAGTTTTTAATTTTTATGAGGTCTCATTTACTTATTTTGTCTTTTACTATTTGTGCTTTTGCCGTTATATTAGATAATCCATGGTAATGGCTTTTTCCTCTGTGGTGGGGTTCTCTCCATTGGGAACCTAGCAGGATAGGCTTTAGTTACATTAAGAATGACAACAGTTCCTTTACATCTGGGTCAAGGATATAGAGCAAGCCTCTTCTGAAAATAGCCAGGAAAGAGAGAAGAATCCAAGGGGAGGGGGTGAGTGTAGAAGACAAATTAGTAGACTAGTCGTAGAATGTCAGAGCTGAACAAGACCTGTCCAATCCTTCACTGTTTGAGTGAGGAAACAAAGGCACAAACCACAAACAAAACCAAATCCATTGCCGTTGAGTCGATTCCAACTCACAGTGACCCTATAAGACAGAGTAGACCTGCCCCATAGTGTTTCCTAGGCTGTAATCTTTACAGAAGCAGACTGTCACATCTTTCTCCAGTATAACAGCTGGTGGGTTCGAACCACTGATCTTTCAGTTAGCAGCAGAGCACTTAACCACTGCGCCACCAGGGCTTCTTAAAGGCACAAAGAAAGGAAATAATTTGTCCAAGGTCACACAGCCAGTGGTGCACACAGCAGTGCGCTGACACCTGCCTAGGTTAATGAATAATCTGCAGCTATTGTTAGTGCTCAGAGGGGAGAAAAAAGGGAATACTGGCTCTCAGCAGTCTTATAGAACAATAGGTGAAAAGGCCATGCATACACATACACACATATATTCCCACCCCATTCAACCCCAGCAGTGTACACAGAAGAGATGTGTGCAAGGCAGAATTGTGTGGGATGCACACATTGATGTGGAAGAAAAACTGTTTAGTTCATACCTAAGTAGACCCTCTGCCTACTGGCTCATGTATAGGGTAGGGCTGGTGAGGCCCAAATTGAGGCATGAATGGAGGAATCACTGGCGGTTTGCTAGTGTAGAAAGGCAACAGGATATTCTTTAGGAGATCAGGGGCTGGAGGTGAAGGCCTCTCAGATAAGAGGAAAGTATGAGATAAAGCTCCAGGGCAGGGGTAAGGGTGCTGGCTGCTTTTGGTATCAGGAGAAGGGTAGGGAGCCAGAAGGGTCAAGGGAAAATGGCTGTACCTGCAGATGGTGACTGGAGCAGTTCGAGTCCTGGACATAGCTCCTGCCATTAGGATCCAGCACCTTGAAGGGTGTAGCTTCAGTGTGTATTGGGGAGTGGGGGCAAGTCCCTGGGGGACTAGGGTGTGGGGGTGGAGCCTAATGACTCTGTGTACAGCTGTTTCCTAGGTGCAAGGGGTGGAGCTAGGGCTGGGCAGCTGTGCCCCCTGTCCCACCATCAGTTCCTTCTCCCCTGCACTGAGGCCTCCTCTAGGGCTGCTGGGAAGGCAAGAGCGACTGCTGCTGTTCGTAGCTGCCCAGATGCTGGTACAGGGGCTCTGCAGGGTGCCACTGTCCAGGATAGCACGCTTGTCCTCATCTGGGGGTGAAGGGGCACAATCAGTGACAGATTCTTGTTCTGGGGCCCTGGGGGAGGCAACAACTCCCCTTCATCCCCGTCACCCCCAGAGATTTTACCTGCCTGGACAGCTGAGGTGAGGGTTATATCTCTAATTCTTGGTATCAGTCACTGACACTTTAGTATCAATATAAGTCACTGTGTTACTTCAGGGTCATTGACAGTTGATGCTATACCCTGAACTGTAGACTAAAAGGCTTTACTTCCAGTTAACAGAATTTCAGTCATTAAGTGAAGAGGTAGGGAAGTGCTAAAGGTAATAATAGCTAACATTCCTCGGTGTTTACTCTGTTGCAGGTACTATGCTGAGTGATTTTATATGAAATCCTCACAGAATTCTAAGGAGGAAGAAGGTACTCTTGGCATTGCCTTGTATGGCTGGTGAATGTGGCTTATGTACTCAAGGTTAGTAACTCGTATATGTTCACACAGCAAGTAAGAGGTGGAGCCAGGCTTTAATGTAGGCAGTCTGATACCAGATCCTGCTCACCTGACCACTATGCAACACCCCACCCCCCATTCTGGGTGCTATTTTAAGTTCATCTAGAGCCCCAGAGGCAAGTGATTAATCCATGAACCCAAAGGCTTAGCTGTGTTGGTGACCCTTTGCTTGGGCATTGCTCACTGGGGGGCAGAACTGAGGCTTCTAAGGCTGCCCCCTCTCTCCAGTGGCCAGGGCAAAAGTGAGGGCAAAGGGAAATGAGGCTTGGGAATGGGTGAGGGGGAGGAGCTGGGAGTTTCACCCCCAGCTAAATGGTGAGCCAGGAAGCTTTGAAAAAGACTGTGGTCCCCTTTGTTCTTGCAGGAAGAACGCGTGTGGAAGGTCAGTTCCACCTTGGTCCCCTGGAACACAAACTGCATCTGGTAGGGGTGGGTATTCAGTGTGGAGCACTGGTGCCCACAGAACTGGCCCAGATTCAGCCTGTTGGCTGAGATCTGGTGGAGGAAGAGGAGGGTCTGGTGGGTGCTGATCTTGGCTCTTGGCCAGGCAGGGTTCTCTGGGTTGCCACTTGTACCCCTGGCCTTGGAGGCCTTAGCTACTATCTTTGTTTTTTTTTTTTCCATCTTCCCTGAAAACCCAGGTCTGCTACCTCAGAGTCCTTCCCAGAGCCCCGTGATATACCCACCTCACTCACTGCCCTTTCACCTCCTGCTGTACCTACAAGACTTTCTCATCTTCACCTGCTCATGATTATGGACACAGTCCTGGAATGGCTCCAGGTCAGAGGTCCAGTAGGCCAGCCTCACAGGGAAGTCCCTGCTACCCTGATGGCATGAGTGCTGTCATAATTGAGAGGATATAGTGGGGGAAGTCAGGGGAGACTTCCCAGAGAGCTAGGTGGGGGCATTGGAGGTGGACCCCAGCCAGAGCAGAAGCAGTGAGCTCCCAGGCCGAAGAACAGCCCATGGAAGAGCAGGGAGAGGCTGGAGGGGCTGCCTTCCCACCCTCATCTTCATCCTCAGTCATGTCAGGGATTGTAGGCCTTTTATTGATCTTTGGGTACTTAAGCCTAGACCAGATGTGGTTCTTGCCTTATAAGGGGCGACACTCGGGTGAAGGAAAGGGGCCAAAATGTCCAAGTCCCTGTTCTGTCCTAGAATCCTAGGATTTGTGGTGGCCTCTAGTGTTCCCCTGCTGCCAATAAAGGGTCCAACCATGTTATGGGATCAGGCGCCTGGCTGGCTGGCCTTTGGGCTTTAGAGCTGGAACTCTTCTGCTTCTACCTGAGCTCCCTTTTCAACATGCAGGACTGGGCACGTGGAGGTGGGGTGGGGATGCGAGAGTTGATTGGAGAGGTGGGGCAATTGGGAAGGGCAACATGGCTAGACTTTGATTTTGTGTCCTCTCAGGCCCTCCTAGAATGCAGAGCCCTAGTCCTTGGGCATCATGTGTCCCTGTGCTTCCTGCGTCTGTCCTTAATGTACAATGCATGTCAGTTTCTTCTGGGGAGAGGATCTAGATCAACCTTTGGACTTTACAGAGGCTGAAGGATCATTTGGAGTTCAGGCTAGAAAGTTGTTTGTGACTATCTGGTGCTATCTGAGCCTGGCAGATGGGAGTAGGGTAGGTCGCTGGCATCTGGGTGGCTTAGCAGGGTACAGTTATTCCTGATCGCATGGAAATAAACATTTGGATTCCTGATTATATCCCTGGGGATAGAAGACTCTGGCCAAAAAAGTTAAAGTTGCTCCAGGGCTCCACAACTTTGTGTGCCCCAGGAAGGGCCGGAGGTGGGATCCACTCATCCATGGCATTGCCCCCTCCCCTGCCTTTCCTTTATTCACAGGTTGGTCCCTCTGATCACTTCCTCTTACCTCCGGAGACGAATGGAGCCTGATTTGAACAAGGAAAAGGAGTCTAGTAAGGATGAATATGCAAGTCGGGAAATGGGGTATGTATGTGTATGTGTGAGAGAGAAAAAGAAGGGGAAATGGAGGATCTCTGGCTCTCACTGCAGAGAGCAGCTCCCCCTGCTGCCCTCAGGGGAAACAGCAGCCCCAGCTGCCCACAGTCTCCGTGGGTCCTGGCTTCCACTCCCTTGGGAAGCTGCTCGGCCCTCCTCTGGTTGTTGTGTTCCTTTGGGGGTCTCCAGTCCTCTTTGTTGGATTCTGGCTCCTGAAGGGGTGGGGTGGGATGGGATGGGAGACAGGGTCTTGCCATGTGGATGGCCTGGACACCCAGGTCACTGGGAGTTTGGGAGGATTAAACCCTGACAGTCACCATAGAGGCCTATGAGTTCCTAAGTTAGAACCCCTGCCAAGACTCCAGCGAGGGGCATTGGACTAGCAAAAAGACCATGACAGAGGAGAGTCCTGTGGTGAGAGGCTTGGACTTGCACTGTGAACTGAGTGGCCTGGACACTGTGTTGACCCAATGATGGGACAATGAGTGAGTATACACACAGGAGCATCTTTCTTCTGCTTTGCTCCACTTTGGAAAGGGACATGGTGGGATCCAGCAGCTCTTGGAGCTTCTGCTAGGTGGCTTTGTCAAGAGGACAGCTCTCTACTCCTTACTTTGCTGGGGACATCTGCAGAGAGGCTGGGCAAGGAACAAGCTATTCAGTTTCACTTTGAGATTTTTTCTCTTTCCTAACTTCATCCCAGTGTGTGGTTGGATCAGCGCTGCAAGCCCACTTCTCCTTGGCCAGAGCCCCAGTGTCTGCGTGCCTGCGTAGGGGGCCTAGTCATTGCAGGAAGAGGGGGCAGGGGTGTTTATCTGATAAGCACAGGCCAGGGACTTTCCAACCTATTCCCTTCCCTCTAGACTTTTGCCTCCACCCTACCTTGATCCCTCTTCTATCTGATTCTTGCCTCGTAGGACTTCTATTCTGAAAGAATCAAGAGTCACTGCCCCTGAAGGTAGGGAGGAACCCAGGGGCTGGAGCTAGCACTGGCCTTGAACTAGCCCCACCATTCTGGGCTATTTTCCAGGGCTGTGACTCTGGGACCCTAGGTAAGGGGCCTTGCTGGCCTCAAACTCTCTGCTTTTCCCCTCTCTCCAGCAGTGCTGGCCATTAAGTAGAGGGTCCCTAGAGCCAGGCCTGCTGGTTTTCTCGCCTACTGTCTGTTGCCTTCACACCCCCATGTCCCTCATCTTTCTATCCCTTGGCCTTGCTTTATCCACCTGATTCCTTTTTAGTCTTTTCTGATCTTACTGCTGTCTGTCCTTCCCAAAGCAGATGTGGAGGCTTGGTCACTGTTTAGAAGCTCCCAGTCTCCTGTAGCACTGGACAAAGGCCTCTCCCCGTCCCATGTCTCTTTTCCAACGTGTAGAAGTATAAAATAGTCAGGGTGTGTTCAGATGTTTGTAAACATGGAGTCACTTGAGCCCTGTGCAGGTGGGTAATGGGGAAATTGAGGCTCTCTAGTGGCACAGTGGTTAAGAGCTCAGCTGCTAACCAGAAGGTCGGCAGTTCAAATCCAGCAGCCACTCCTTGGAAACCCTACAGGACAGTTCTACTCTGTCCTATAGGGTCACTATGAGTTGGAATCGACTCAACGGCAACGGATTTTTGGTTTGGCTCTGACTGCAGCAAGCAGCTCCCTCTGCTGCCTGCAGGGGAAACAGCAGCTTCAGCTGCCCACAGTCTCAGTGGGTCTGGGCATTCCTTGGAGAAGACTCTGAGTAGGGTCATGTCTTGGGCCTGGTTCTGTTGAGCATACAAGGCTTTCTTGAGAAAAAAGACAAGGAAATGGAGGAATGGAGCTACCAATAACTTCTGTGTAAATTCTTGAACCCCAGTCACAGTTTTCCAAAAGGTCCACCAAGATTGAATTTTCACTAATCCTCAAATGCCCAAAGCTGAGTTTTCTTAGAAGGAAAGTAAGGGGCTAAATGAGTCACACAGGAGAGTGGTGGTGGTCATTCTCAGGGGCCCTTTCCCCTTTGCCTGCTTCTTTCATCCAAGAGGTCAGGCCTTGAACTGGCTGTAAGGTGGCTACTATAAGGCAGGGGAATGTGAGAAAGAAAGGACTTTGGCTTGGGGGCTGCAAGTTACAGATTAACATGGGGAGGAAGGAAGCAGGGGGAACGGAAAGCGGCCTGAGGAAGAAACTGCTGAGCTGGGACTATCTGGGTTTGAAGGGGCACAAGCGCAAGGGGTCAGTGGACCGGCCAGCACCCTCTGGAGCAGGCCCTCAGCTCCTCTCGGCTATCTGACCTTCCTGAAGACCTGCTCACACACCGCCTCCCTGGCGGTCAGTTCCTGGGGAGAGAGTAGAGAGATGAGGACAAAGAACCGAGGATATTTACCAGCCAGAGCTCCTTTCTCAAGGTCCCTGAACTCCACTTAGTCCTTCAGGATACACTGGCAAGAGCATTTGATATATGGGGAATTGTATCATTGTTTCAACCCTCAACTTTTCACCCCAGAGGAAGGAAGGTAGCTAGTCAGGGGATGGGAAATGGCTAAACTTCGATCTCCCCAGTCATGATTTACTGACAGTCATCAGACTTGTAGCCAGGGCCCACCTTGGCCACTCTATTTCTTCCTCTCCCCACCCTTTTCAGTCCTTTTATTTTCCTTCTTTGTTGGTCTTCCTTGGGGAAGGAGTGAGGACGGGGAGTAAACTTATTTGGTTTGGGCAAGGGGCTGCATCCTAGCTGAAGGCCCCTCTCCTAGACACCCCCATTTATGCCAGCCTCCTCTCCCCCACAGCCCTCACCCAGCTCACCAGATACAACTTGTCTCCTTCCAGCCAGTGTTTCCAGCCCCGGTTGGGGACCTCCCCTTTCTGCACACACACCAGCTGCTCCTCCTCCCAGGTTACTATTGTCTATAGGGGAAGGCAGGAATAAAGAAAGATTGAGAGGCAGGTCCCCCAAAATACATCCCAACTTACTCCAGCTGCCCCCTTTCACTACACAGCAGATACAGTCTTGCTCCAGCCCTGAGCTTCTTCATTCTGAGTGAGTGGGCTGCTCTGAGTGGGCTTCTCTCACTCCTACAGGCCACAAAGGGCCATAGTTCCTTTATGCTGACATTTGAGTAGCTCTGACTCAAATGACCTGGGGAGAGTGGGGGTGGGGCAGCGTAGTTTGGGTGAAATTGGGAGGGTGAAAATGGAAAGTCTATCCTCTAAAGACTTTTATCTTACCTGCCTTTGGGAAAAAAAGAGAAATTCTTTGGGAGCCCCACCAGAGAATCTCTTTTCTCCTCTTTCTCATTTTTCAACCACAGCTGAAGTGCCCCTTACAAAGAAGGACCAACCCCCTGAATCAGAGCTGGGTGGGCCTGGGCATTCCAACTAACAATTATTGATGCCTTCCATAGGATAAAAACAAAATAACCAAACCTACTGCCTTTGAGTCAATTCTGACTCCTGGAGACCCCATGTGTTACAGAGTAGAACAGCTCCATAGGGTTTTCTTGGCTGTAATCTTTACAGAAATAGTTAAGCCTTTCTTCCATGTTGCCACTGGGTGGGTTCGAACTGTCAACCTTTAGCTTAGCAGGTGATCACAGACCACTTGTGCCACCCAGGCTATTTTCCATAGGATACGTCCTGCTCAATAAGGAGCTCACAATCTTGAAAAGACAGAGGATCAGTAAATACTTATCTCTTATACCAGGCAAGTGGTTGGGATGGGAATTGGGAGGGAAGAGCTGAGTCTTCAAGGAAGTTAGGTGTTAGCTTGGAGATAATGGGAAGTCTCTGGCAAGGAAAGAAGGGTAAGAGGCAAGGTAAGAGAGAAAGACAAATAGTCTTGAAGGGCTCTAACCTAGAGTGTGTGTGTGAAAGATAAATGAGGAACTGGTGGATTTAAGCATATGCATGTTATCTGGAACGTAATAGATGGTCACTGGAAGGGTCTGAGTCAGGGATTGATATGGTCACATTTACATTTTAGATAGATCCTTGTGGCTACAGCATGCAGAGTGGATTAGAGGAGGGTCAAGACTGGGGCCAACTTGAGTGCCAGGTGAGAAATGAGGGCCTGAATTAAGGTAGTGATAGTGAGAATAGTTAGGAACAGATGAGCAGTATTCTTCAATAGAAATATAACCCGAGTCACAACTGCCAGCCACATATATAATATTACATTTTCTAGTAGCTATATTAGAAAAATATAAAGAAATAGGTGAAATAAATTTTAACAATATATTGTATTTAACCTAAAATATTATTTCACCATGTAATCAATATAAACATTTCTAATGGGATATTTTTACGTTCTTTGTGTGTGTGTGTGTATTTCTCCAGAAATCCAATGTGTATTTTACATTTACAGCACATCTCAATCTGAACTAGTTACATTTCAAATGTTCAATAGCCACATGTTGCTAGTAGCTATTATGCTGGACAGTGCAGAAAAATTATAAAGACTTCTTGACTAATTAGATATGGTGTGTGTGTGTGTGTGTGTGTTGGAGGCACATAGGTAAGGGAACAAATAATATTGATCTGACTCCGGGGTCTCTGGTTTGATGGCTGGTTATTGACATTAAGGGAGACAGTAAGTATAAAAGGAGGAGGTGGTTTGTTTAGAAAGATAATGAATTTGAGTTTGACCTCGGGGCATGCAAATGGAGATGGCTTGCAGGCAGTTGAGAGCATCACCCTGGAGCTCAGGGGATAGCTCTGGCTGGAGGATGTATGTCAAGGGCAGTTTATAGGCAGTAGCTGAAGGTGAGGAGCCCTGGTGGCACAGTGGTTAAAGCGCTCAGCTACTAACCGAAAGGTCAGTGGTTTGAACCCACCAGCTGCTTCATGGGAGAAATCTGTGGCAATCTGCTTCCATGGCCTTGGAAACCCTATGGGGCAGTTCTACTCTGCCCTGTAGGGTTGCTATGAGTCAGAATCGACTCAATGGCAAAGAGTTTTGGGTTGTAGTTAAAGGTGTGGGTGTAGATGATTTAGCCCACAGACGCTGTACATAGCAGAAGGAGAAAGTCAAGGACAAAACACTGGGGAAAAGCCCCACTTAAGGGATTAATAGGGGAACTAGTGTTTGCAAAGGAAGCCAAGAAGGAACACCAAAGAGCTAGAAAGAAATGTAGGAGAGTGGGGTTATAGAGGGGAAGGGAAAAGAGACTGTGTGGTGACCAGCAGTGTCTGTTGCAGGCTAGAGGGTGAGTAAATGTTTGCGCATTGCCTGGGGATAACCTGCTGTTTTAGCCCTTCTGGCTGGTGGATGAGAGGGGCAGGGAACAAGTTAAAAGAGAGTAGGGGGACCACCAGAAGCCTGTTAGTCTCAAGACTAGTAGCCTGGGGACTCTACAGCCTGCTATGGCAATCATTTTCCCCGGCTCTGGCTAGGAGAGGTCACTTTATTTTGCCCCAAATTGTTAAGAGGCAACAGCTCCTCTACCCCTCCCCTGAGTCCAAGGAAAAGTACCTGGCATTTCCGTCCATCCATGATCCTGAGGTCATCTTCAAACTCAACTCCCACATCGAATTCCAGAATGTAGTTGCGGAAGGTGCTGAGGGTCTTCACCGTCATGTGGTTGCCCTGATGGTCAATCTCCTTGTCTGGCTTCAGCAGCAGCGCTATCTTCCGCAGAGCCATGTTGATGTCTGCAGGGGGCGGTCTCTTAGCAAGGGTCCTGCCAACCCATGCTAGCTTCCCCACCAAAGCAGCAGCTCAGGGCTGTGAGCTTTCACTTAGCTGGGTCTGGAACTGTGGATAGCTCAGCTGCTATCCAAAACATCGGCAGTTCGGATCCACCAGCCCCTCCTTGGAAACCCCACGGGGCAGTTCTACTCTGTCCTATAGGGTTGCTATGAGTTGGAATTGACTCGAGGACAATGGGTTTTTTTTTTGTTTGTTTGTTTGTTTGTTTTAGCATTGCCCTGCACTGGGCTACTAACCAGAAGGTTGGTAGTTTAAACCCACCCAGAGGCACCTCAGAAGAAAGGCCTCGTGATCTGCTTCTGAAAGGTCACAGCCATGAAAACCCTGTGGAGCACTTCTACTCTGACACACATGGGATCGCCATGAGTCTGAATCCACTTCTTGGCAACTGGTTTTGGTTAAGCATTGCCACTGGTTAGAATGGATCCCAAGTCACGTGTCAGTGGCCTGAACCTTTCCACAATATCCAACCCCAGCACTCTCCCTTCTCAATGGGACAGACAGAGAGGCAGGAAGGGAGAGGAAAGAAGGGGAGTGGAAGGGGCCTGGGAGAGGTGAGGCCATTACTTAGGGCTTGCAGGTAGTCTTCCATGTTCTTTTGTGAGACAAAGTGGTAGTAGCCGGTGAGGTTGGGAGGCATTGTCTGCGTGGGCCAAGATGGAGATTAAAATTTTAGGAGGATATAGGAGACAAGGTGAGGAGAGAGGGGATGTTGTCTGGCAGGTGAGTCTGAGAGACTCCAGGCAGCCCTCCACACAGAGAAACAGGCATGTGTAAAGTCTATGTTTTCCAGGGCTTTTATAGGACTAGGGCCCTGTTGCAATAACAGTCCCTACCAGACTTCCTCCCTCCCCCCATGTTTCAGTTTGGGGTTGGTGTCTGCCGGCAGCCTGAGGGAAGGGCAGGGCATTGGCAAGGTTGTGCCTGACCTCCACTTTTCCTGAGGAAGGAACCTGGAGGAGTCCAGGGTCCTGGGCTGTCAGTCATCCAAGACTTGAACCATTCTGCAGGTCAGTATTGGCCTCCACCCCATTCCTCCTCCTGACAGAGCTGGGAACAGTCCCAGAGCCCACAGGGGCAGTCTCCTGGGGAAGAGCTGCAACTGGGCTGGCGATAGGGAGTAGAAGGTTCTCACAGGCCCACCTAGGGGTAAGTTCTAACAATACCTGAGATCCCTGTGTTAGAAGGTGTGAGAAGAAGGAGGTAGGAAAATAAGGGGGACAGCCAGTTGGCCAGGAGCCACAGTGAAGAAAACCCTACAGCCCCCACAGCTTCCTCAGATACCTTTGCTGTGTTGGAGCCCAAACTCTTTGCTCTGTAGAGTCACTAGGAAGGGGGAAGGTATGGGGAGGGCGCAGTGGGAGAAGGGGACTGGTGCCAAGAGAACTGCTCTCCCCAAACACAGAGGGGATGTTGAGTTAAGAGTTCAAAGTCCAGAGCGGAAAGTAGGGAGGAGTTTGGTTGGCTGTTCTGGAGAATTTTATACTCTTTGGCTTGGAATCCAGGGGTTTCCCCTTTCCCTTTGGAGTCACTGATGTCATCACCCGGAGTCCCCAGTGCTGAGATGTCATCACCCGGAGTCCCCAGTGCTGAGACAGCCATGTGTACCAGATACATTCCCCTGGGGGCCTCTGCCTAAATTATAGTGTGTCACACTCCCCAACTGCCCACTCTGTCTCAAACCTACCAACTTCCTGAGCTTCAGGATCAGCTGGGCTGGCTCATCGTGGTTTGGGTGTGAAAACCTGGGAGAGAGGCAGGGAAGAGTCAGCAGTGGGAACAACTGCAGGATAGGTCCATTTTCATAGGGCCTGACATTCCAGCTGCGGATGAACTGTCTCAACAGGTGTGTGCGAGGGGAGCACAAATATCTCATGCTTCCTCCAGTCCCAGAGCCCTTCCCCCAGCTGACCATCCCTGGGTTCCTCAAGTCCTGGGGCTGGGGACTTAAATTAAATGCCAGGGTTTCTCTGGTAGAGGCTGAGGGTGCCACTTCGGGATACCCAGGAGGCACACAGCAAGGACTTACTGATGGAATGGGTTGTGAAAAGGGGTTAATGCAGGGTTGGGGTGTGTGTGCGTGACGTGGATACTGCCGGTCCCCACCTCCTCAGGTCTCTGCTGACGTCGTCCCTTCCCCACCCCCTTGCTTTCAGCTTCTCCATTCTCCCATTGTCCCTCGTATTTCCCACCCCCTCTATGACTTTCCAGCTTCCTCCCCGGCCCCCACAATTCCCCTGCTCTCCCAAATTGCAGTCTAGGGAAAAAAGCCCTACCACATTCTCCCGCCCCTGCTCCTCAGCCCCACTGGTCACCTCCCCTCCCTGCAGCACCTGGCCTCCCCAGTCACCCGATTGGCCAGCAGCCCCATCAATCCGTGCCGGGCTTTGCTGACGTCATCCTGCAGTAGCGGGGATGGGGTGGGAGTGAGAGAGAGAGAGTGAGGACGCCGGGCTCTAGAGGGACAGAGTAGAAGCCACTGCAAGTCCCCCACCTTAGCCACCCAGGTTGGGGTCTGCCCAAGTCGGCTCTGTGGACTAGTGTGGGCGGCAGCCTCCGCTCTGTCACTGCCCTGCTGCTCTCTGTCTTCCCTGCCCTCCTTGGTGAGCCCCTGCATCCCTCCCTAAGGGGGAACAAGCAGGCTTGAGGCTCCCAGGGGAGAGCGATCTCCAGCTTTGCTCTGCCCCACGCCACACCATGACCCTACTGCTGTTGCTCCTCTTGCTGGCCTCCCTGCTCCCCTTCAGCTCCTGTAACAAAGGTGAGTGAGGTGGGGGTGGGGGTCACTGAGAGAGGGGCAGGGACAGAGCGATGTGGGGGCAGGGGGCAGGAGGTATTGAGGCTCTCTGGCACATGACAGGTGTCTGCTCCTCTTCTGACCATCCCCCTCCCATCCATTTTCTCAGACCTGCCCCCTTCTCCTCTCCCTCAGCATCTTCCTTGCCACATCCTCCTCTCTGATCCATCTCTACCCATGTACTTCTCTTGTTGGTCATCTTGCCCCCAGAGAGTCTCCATCCCCATCTTGGAGTCCTTACCCACCCCCACCCCTGCCCAGTTTCTCCATGCTGGCAGATATCTCAGGTCTCAGAGGACTTGCCCCTGAGCAATGATATGCATCTCTCAGTGGCTCCATTTTCACTGGGGTGCGCACACACTAAGGGTGTGTGGCAGCTCCATCTGGTTCATCTCCATCCCATCCTGGGGAGAAACTGTTCCTTGCAGCTCAGCAATTCGGAGCACGTATGTTTCTGCATGTTTCTCTGCATCCATACCCTGACGCCTGCACACAGCTGGGCTGTGGGTTACCAGAGCTGCCCTCTCTGGCAGACAGCAGATAAATTCAGCTGGATGAGGCTGTTGGAAGGACAGTGAGGGATGGAGGGAGGAGACTGGGGGCAGAGGGCTCTGGTAGGTGGAAGCAGATGGAGAAGGGCAGGAAGGGGCAGAAGTGGGTGTGGGAGGGCGCTAAATGAGTGGTGAGAGGGAAAGCTGAGAAGAAGGGACATGAGGTGTGGGAGGGGGGTAAGAAGGGAACGGGAGAGGACAAAGGTAGAGGCAGAAAAAAAGGAGAATGAAAGGAAAATGAGGAAGAAAAGAGAAGGGAAGGGTAAAGCCGAGGAAGGAAGAGACAGGGAGCCTAGGTGTGAATGAAAGGTAATGGATACAAGGAGAGAGTAGGTGGTCAAGAGGAGAGGAGCTGGGAGACAGAGGTAGGGAGGGAAGCAGGGATGGAGGGGTGAGCTATGGAAAAGTGCCTGGCTCTGCCCTTGCTGCGCCTCACCCCTGCATCTGCCTCAGCCCCTCTATCTGCGTTCTCCTTCGCCTGGCCTGGCTGCGGCTCCTGCCTCTACCTCTCACCTCAGCCTGGCTTCTTAGCCTCCTGCCACTTCCTGTGTTGTCTCCTGTGCACCATCTTGTGACTTTCTCCTCAGCCATCAGGGAAGGGGTTGTGGTGGTCGTCAGCACGAAAGGGGTAGGCGTTCAGATACCAGAAGGCTTTTTTGGGGGGATGATTAGAGGAAAGACTGGAAATCAGGATTTCTTGCTCACCATGAATACTCCGAACAAGTTGGCTTTTGGTGACTCAGTTTCCCTCTGGTGATATGTCCTCCTCCATCCATGTCCTGCTGATGTGCCGTTATGAATGTGCTTTGAGAGCCTGGGGCTTGGCATGATGGGACCAGATAGAGTAACCAGTGGAGGCTGGGCTTGGGGGTGATGTGGAAGGGGAGAGAAGATGCTGAGCTCCCAAGGAACACCGTGCCTTCCCCATAACCTCCTCCCAGGCTAGCGGTAGACTGCTCCTGCGGACGGGCGGGGAGTGATTTAGTGGAATATGGAAGGATCTGGAGCCTGAGTGAGTTCTACATCCACCCTGAATTGGCTGATGGCTGAAGGGAAGATTGGTGTGTTGGCAAGAATTAGGACTAAGTCATGGGTCTGTATAAAATGCAGGGTTCAGGGAGTGCTGGGTTTGGTGGCCCTGTAGGGGACATAGAAATGTGCTGGTTATGAGCGTGTTCTAGGTGTGGGGGTGGGAAGCAGGGAGGGGATTTTTCGTGTTTCTAGGCCAGCTTGATAATCCCTTAGGATGTTGGCTCTGCTGGGTCCAGGCATTTACCATTGATCCCTCTGCTCCATCCCTGCCCTCCTCTGTCCCCCTCCCTCTGTCCTATATCTTTTTTCTTCCCTTCTTTCTCCTATTCCCTGTGCTGAGGAGAATGGCCTTAGTTTGGGGCTTGGCTGGAAGCAGTGAAAAGTGAAGGGAGCAGGATTGGAAATTAAGGGGGAGGGTGGATAAACAATCAGGAAACTTCTATATTCCCTCCTTTTTTAAATACCAACTCTGCCCTTAATCTCCCCTTTCGCTTTCTCAGGGCTCCTTTGGTGGCCACCAGTGCTCCCCGACTTCCTAGTCTCCACTGTCCTGCACTTGAAATCCCTAAAGGGGCTCCCCACCCCCAGACCCTGGTATTCAGGGGAGATAGTGATCTCTTCCCCCACCCTCTGGGGGGCAGGCTGTTGCCATGGAAACTGTCTATCCTACTATAGGCGAACGCTGTGACCTCCCACAGGCCCGCTGACTTCTTCAATGGCTAATTTCTCATCCTTGTCCTTGTCCTCCTCCTTGTGTTCCTGCAAGGTGCTCCCTCAGGGGGTGGAAAGGGTAATGAGGCTGAGGTATGAGTTTGCCTGGGCCATGAGGAGCTGTTCTGGGAGTGGAGGCCCAGCTCACATGTGCTTCCCCTTCTCTCTCTGGGGGTCAGCCAACAAGCACAAGCCATGGATCGAGGCAGAATACCAGGGCATCGTCATGGAGAATGACAACACTGTCCTGCTGAACCCGCCACTCTTTGCGTTGGACAAGGATGCCCCCCTGCGTTATGCAGGTAATTGGGGCTGGGGTATGACAAGGCAGGGTAGGGGACAGAAAAGTGGTTGGGAGGGCAGAGGGTGAGGGAGGGGAGGGGTAATCCTGGGAGTAGGAGGAATGAGAGAGTGGGAGAATTAAGAGAGTGGAGAAGAGGCCTGGGGGAAAATAGAAGAATAGGCTGAAGGGGGGGGGGGGGGGGAATGGGATACACTGAAGAATGGCAATTGAGGAAAGGATGCCAGAGAGAAGGACATGGGCAGGCAGGGGTTAATTGATCAAGATTTTGCCATATCTCAGACCTGGTGGCTCTGAGAGGGAAACTGGAGTTGGAGCTATTGTCTGATAATTCATGCTTTCACGCCTGTAACAGAAAGGACAGGGGTTTGGGAGG